TGTTGTTATTTCTCCAAGTTTACAATATAGTAGGAGATTTTAATATATAAAATCAACCTTACTATGATATGCACCAAACTGAATCTTTAAAATACTGTCCAGACACCAAAGAGACAGCTGGATGGAGTCAAGAAAAGCTCCTCAGGAGACAAGATGTCAGACAATGCATACTTTAGAAGTTGGGGAGCCTGGAGTGGTGGTACACACTTGTAATCCTAGCACTTGGGAGGCTGAGGCAGGAGGAGCATTGCAAGTGAGCTCAAGGCTAACCTGAATGGCATAGCGAGACCTTGTCTCAAAAAGAAAAAAATTTGGAAGGATTTCACCCAGAAAATGCATAAAGAATGGCTTATTCTCTGCACAATCACAAGGAAACCTTCATCTAATTTCAGTTTGAAAGAAATGTTCAGACACATTTGTTTTATTGAATTCTGAAGTTTTGCCAGGTAGCTTAATTGAACTCGTTAAAAAATAATAGAGTTTGTATCCCTTGGGGTTCTCAGTATAGGCAGGTGAAGACTAAAACTGATTGTCCTGCAGGTAATCTGATCAGGTCTTTGAAGACATAAAAGCTACCGAAGACGTGGTTGTTTTGATGGTTGTTGTTGCTAAAGTGAGCTGGCTGGGTGATGATACAGTTGTTCTGGCTGGGCACATTATCTTCCTGTGAATCTTTATTCACAAGGAGAAAGAGGCCCCGGGGTCTTCCTGGACTCTGAAGTGAGGAAGGATGTGTTGGTGTGAGGGGATCTAAGGCAAGTGTGACCTTGTGGGATTCTTCTCCTCTTTTGGTTTCATCCTGAGTTGGAGAAAAGTCTTAATCATGTGATGTAACTATGGTGTCTTAGCTCCTCCTTGCACTAAAAGATCCTCAGAAGTGAAGCCTGAGAAAAGGAATGAGTTGCAAGTAGTTTACTGGGAGGTGAGTGCCCAAACAGTAGCCGGGGAGTAGAGTTGTAAGACAGGGCAGGAGACCTACAGGAGGTCTATTTTCAGGTTGGGAAAATAGCTCAGTGGCAGAGCTCTTGCCTAGTGTGTGTAAGGCCCTGAGTTCAATTCCCAGTATGAAAAAGAGAAAGATAGTGAACAGTCAGATCTTCACGGGGGGTAAATGCAGCTGAGTCTACACCACATCTTGTCAGGCATTTTATGGGGATGCTTCCAGGGGAGTGTTAATTCCCCAGCACTTTTGGCCTCTCTTGCATGTAGGCGGTGGTCCCAGAAAAACTCGGGAAGAGATCTGAGTATGCCAAGATTATTAAGGGAAAAGTGAGATGGGTGAGCCACCCTTTCTGAGCGGCCAACGTTTCAAGATTGGAGAATCTCTTTTAATTAGGTCACACAAATTTTTCTGCTACTTAAAAATCCTAGAGAGTTCTCCTGACTGCAGTGACTATGTTCTGTCTATGCTAATAAACTATTCTTTCAATTACTTCTCTCTATTACTCTTTGGAAGCCTTCTCATGCTTGCTAGCTATGAACTACGATCATTATAAAAATTAGAGGTGGGTCCCTGCTGTTATCTGTCACCTCTGCCGTGTGAAGAGTTTCAAGCCGCTGTTTTCTCCAGGTGGCTGCCATGAAGGGCAGTGGTAGTAATGGGCTGTGAAATTCTGTTTTCTTCGATTCAGGTAACATGGTTTCCTTAACGAGACAAGGGTTTACAAATTTCACTCAAGCTCAATCTTATTATTTTATTTTGGGTTCACATGCATGAATGTTTTCTGTGAGCTTCAGTGTGATATTTCAGTACATGCACACAGGGGACACTGGCCAGATCTAGCTTTCTCTTTATCTCTTTCCTCTGCTCCCACATTCCCAGCCCCTAGTAATTGCTAGTCTAGATTTAATTGATTTTTTTCTTTTAAGCATCCACCTACGAAAGAAAATGTTTTCCCCTTTGGTTTAGGCTTATTTCATTTAACAATGTGTCACCCCTCCCATTCATTTTGCTATAAATGACAGAATTTTTTCTTCTTTATGGAAGTAATATTCTATCGGGCATGCACACCACATTTTCTTTACCCATTCATCCATTGATGGGCATCTAATTTGAGTCTGTATCTTTAAAAACTTTTCTTGTATCTTAGTATATGTCTGCACCTTGTAATGATTACATTCATTTTAGGAAATTGGCACATGTGCATAGCACATCTTAATTCTTTTAGGGCATTAAAAAGGGTACCCCCTCCATATTCTCTCAGCCTCAATAGTGTTGGTGCCCTCGAACCTACCTTCCAACCACAAGCACGCTCAACTCTTTTTCCAACTATTTGGGGACCACATCCTGCTCTACTGACATGTGGGGCAGGCCAAAAGTGTGGGGGAGTTATTGCCTCCCCTTTCTCCTCTCTTACAAAGTCCTCTCTTACAAAGTCCCTTTCCCATTTACAAAGGATTTATCTCCCTGCTTCTTGTTATCTACCTTTTATTTTCCCTTGATTTATATTTCAGATTTCTCATTTAAGAAACCATGAGATATATAAGCTATTGTGTCTGATTTATTTTACTTAACTTTGTGGTCTCAAGGTGTATTTCCTGTAAATAACTCAAATAAATCCTTGTTTATGACAAAGTAGTACTCCATTATGTATAGACACCATACTTTATCTGTTCATCTGTTGATGGACATGTAGAAGATTTAGCTTTTGTGAATTGTGCTGCTGTGGGTGTGAATGTATCACCGTAATATGGTATCTTTAACTCTTTTGGGAAGATTCTTAGAAGGGGAATAGCAGAGTGAAATGAAATTTGTAAGTTTTATTTTTGAGGAATTTCCATATTGACTTCCATAACGGTTGTACTAGTTTGTATTCCCACCCACAATGTGGCAATGTTCCTTTTTCAGTGCAACTTTGTCAGCATTTGTTCATATTTGATTTTTTGATGATGGTCATTCTTTCCGGGATAAGGTGGAATTTGGGTATTGTTTTAATTTGCATTTCTGTAATGGCCAGAGATGTTGAACATTTTTTTTTTTACCAAAAAATGTATACACATTTTAGGAAAATAAATACTTGTATAAATATTTTAATATTAAATTTATTGTGACATCATGAAATTAATACAAATTACTTTTGGCCTCTACCACTGCAAGAGGTGCTGAAAGTGATGACCATTAGTTTTTAGAATTTATTAATGGGCAAGCTGTTGTTTGGGTGAACTAGATCACTGAGATTGAGGTGCATGCATTTCAATTTCTTCTCTAAGGGCTGGCCGTGCGGTGGGTTTTCTGTGATATGTGACATCCTCTAGAGTCCCCCATCTCAGGGCAATGGCATCTGTTGAAAAATCATCACACTAGTTTTCTTTTCCTGAAGTGTGTAGGCACTTTTTTTTAGTGGACTCTTTATTTACTGGCCATTTGTACCTCTTCTGAGACATGTCTATTTATTTTGCTTAACCACTTTCTGATTAATATTTTTCCATTCTGTAGGTTGTGTCTTCACTCTGTTGGTTGCTTCCCTTGCTGTGCAGAAGTTTTTAAAAATTTGATACAATCATATTTGTTGATTCTTGACATTATTTCTTTGGCAATTGGAGTTCGGTTCAGAAAATCCTTCCTTATGCCTGTCTCAAGATATTGCCTATTTTATCTTCCAACAGATTAAGCTTTTTTGTTTTAACATTCAGATTTCTGATGCATCTTGATTTTAGTTTACTGCATGGTGAGAGATACAAGTCTAGACTAATCTTCTGCATGTTACTCACCAGTTTTTGCAGGATCATTTGTGAAAGAGGTTATGTTTGCTCCAGCATAAGTTTTTGGCCCCTTTGTCAAAGATCAGGTAGCTGAATGTGCCTAGAGTTGTTTCTGTATCCTGTGTTCTGTTCCATTAATCCACATGCCTGTGTTTATGTCAATAAAAATCTGTTTTTTTTAAAAATCACTATAGTTTTTAATATAACTAGGGGCATATGCATTCTAGCCACTCTCAGTTTTTATGTCCCTCTGAATGCTGCAAATCACAGCTTTCTCAATGCAGATTTTCAGCCTCTGTTTGTGAGGCCTGACCCCTTCCCCTGTCCCAGAGGGCCCTCTGTGTTTACCCCAGGCTGTGACAATCATTCAAGCTGGTGTCCATTTCCGATTTTGTTGGCAGATGAGGAAAGCGAAGTGACCACTGAGCTTTGTTGCTGGAAAGAAGCAGTAGGATATGGAGTCAAGCAGTTCACTGGACTTAATGCCAACACTTTCAGCCCGGCCCTCTGAAAACCACACGCCGCTGGCCTGACTTCTTAACTGAGGGTGGGCCCTCTGTGCCCTTCTTGGCTGAGTTTAAACTTCTTAGGGGTCTACGTTTAGCCTGCACCCTCTCTGAGGTTGTTTCTTTTCCCATCTTCCACGATGTCACTGTGGTAGGGTAATCCCAGACACCCTGAAGCATAGTTGTTTTGTTGTTCAATATTCAAACAATTAATCCTCCCCCCAAATGACTCCTGATTAAAACCTCTCAATTATAGAGGTTACTACACTGGATTTCTTCTCCAGCTCCAGCCTGCCATATAGAATTTGTCACTTGCAGGGTAAAACCTCACTCTGTTTTTGCAGTTTAACAACAACTGTGGTATTGCCTGAGGCTAGTGCTGCTGGACCAGTCCACTGTTTCTCCAAGAGTTTTTGAATCTTTCTGGGTTTACTTTGAGTTAGCAGAGACTTGTTTCCCTGTCTGAGAGCTTTCCAGATTGCTTCAAACAGAGCACTGTGCCTTGTTTCTTTAGTTTCTAGATTTCCTGTCAGCTCCTTCCAATTTCTGGAGATCTACTTCTGTTTCTCTTTAGCAAGTTACTGTTTTCCAGGTGTCTTGATTCTAGGTGTGGGAGAAACTGTCTTGCTGTAGGCCTTTCCTCCGCCATTTTAAATACTCATTCTGTACCATGGTGATTGTGACTAGGTCTTCAGTACACATGGATGTGCAGGGTATCTTTTTTGGCATGCTGATTTAATTTTGTTTGAATATATGCTCAGTTCAATTATTTTTATTTCTTCTTAACCTTAGGGAGCAAGACGATTTTCAGGAGAGAAGGTAAGTAACCTCATTTACTCTTCTTAAATTGGATAGCAGTATCTTTGCTAAATACAATACTGTCTCCAGCCCCTTTTCCTTACTTGAGTGAGGGTGACAACTTATCAACAGGGAAAGAGGTTCAATGTTATCAATGGCTAAACAGCCCTGCTAATCACTAATGGTAAGGCACACATTTAGGGCAGTAGCACCTGTAATTTTCAGTCCTCGCTGACTCTGTAATAATTGAGCCATATTTTCATCCCATGACAGTCTAGAAGTGTTAGTCTGGATGCAAGGCATAGTGACAGGTTTCTGGTCAAGGTGTTAAGAGAGAGATGCGATAGGGAAAGGAATTTCACAATACTTTACCTTTCGATTCTGAATCAAAGTATCCATTAGCTCATTCATTCATTTATTCAAATAATGCTCATTACAGACCCACTCAGTTCTTCACCTGATCCTGGGGAACAAGACAGCTAAGGTTCATGGTTTCTTTTTTTTTCCTCATGCCTTTTGGTACTACCAATCCACCTCTTATGATCCATGGCCAATGTGTCATAATTCTAGACCAGTGGTGGCATGTATGTTATTATGGTTTTTTAAAGAGACAAAAGATGTTAATGTAGAGTTGTTTTTTCTAAGCTAAAGCTCTAGTATTTAGGTTTAATTGCAGTGTTGGCACTTTGTGATAAGTGGGTTTTTGGTTGCAGTTTGACACTTTGTCTCTAAAAGGTTCACTCTTGCTGTTCTAGACCAGGACTTTGCATACTTGTGTTAGGTACTAACTCAGATCTACTTTGGTTCAACATGTTCACAATGAAGTTTTAATCTGTATGTCTTGCTGCAGGTCAGCTTGAACCTCTGGTGGTACATGTATGTCATCCCATGCATGACTATACCATTTCAACCACAAGTGCTACAACCTGCCCAGGAGACAGTCATCCATATACACTGGTGGTACAAGTTGCTTGATGGGACAGTCATGAATGTACTAGTGATGGCGAGAATGTGTTTAAAACTTCCCTAAAGTTTATTTGGTGGAGTGTGAGAGTGCAACCACTCCATATGTGTGGCATGTGGTTTTTATGTTTGCAAAACTAGTTGTTTTTCTTCAAAAGATTCTTAAAAATAAATATATTAACTGACATATTGAGATTGGTGGTAAAATAAAGAGCACATAATTTGCAAGTAATGGAATATTTGGCAAGCTGTCACTATGAAGCTGCCCTTAAAAACTTGTATTACCAAGTTTGCCTTGGAATTTTATTTTTTTCCTTTTTAAAATTTTTAAAAATTTTATCTTAGGCAGAATAAAACCAAGAAAAATAAAGCAGAATAAATCCAATCAAAACAAGACAGTGTAATTGATACAGGATTTCAAAACAAGATAATAGAAAATTAACAGTGACTACCATAATGCCTCTTCTTGTCTTCAAAATAGCTGCTCATACCTTCAGACACAGTCAAATCATATAAAACAGAAACAGAATAGAATCAGTAAAAACAAAACAATGAATTCAATGCAGGACTTCAAAACATGGTAATAGTAAATCCAAAATGACTACATAATACATCTTGTTATCCTCGAATAGCTGCCCATCCCATCAGATATAACAAAATTAAACAAGCTAAAGCAGAATAAAACTCAAACAAACAAAACAATGAGAATGATACAGGACTTCAAAGTAATATAATAAGTAATTAACAGTGGCTACCACCTTCAGAAGGAGATTCCCTATATATGCTGTATCGTGTAATGTTGTCCTCTGAATGGATAATCAGTCTCCCAGCTTTCAACCTGCAAAATCAGTGAAACACTAAACATTGCAAGCATTAAGTTGTATTCTATCTCATTAGCTATCATCACAGCTTGTGTTTCCCCGGATCAGCTGATCACTTTCACAGTGAGGTAGGGAATGTTAGCTCTTCTTGTCTCCCTGCTAGTGCGCTAGAAGGGGCTGGTGTCTGGCTCTCCTCCAGTCAGCCTGCACATGGCACCGACTCGCAGGAAGTCTTAGCTTCTTCTCTTCTTGTTCTCCTCCACCCTAGCCTGTGAATGGTGCCAACTCAAGGGGAGGGTTGGCTTCCGGCTCTCCCCCAGGCAGCCGGTGTGTGGTGCCAGCCTTGGTACTTTAGTTCTATTTTTTATGTCTCCTCAAATGCATATACTTCCATTTAATTCCTCCTTAATCTGTGATCTTTCAAGTTTTTGCGATATAGATTAATCCATGTATATTTCCCAGTCTTTTAAAACTAAAGAATGTCAATGGCAACAGGACCATTTTAAGCATATAATAATCAGTGGAAAATGTTTCAGTCTTGGTAAAAAAGTTGTTTGTTCTCAGTGCTATTTAAAGGGACCCATCCATGCTAGGCAAATGCTCTACCACTGAGTTACAGTCCCAAGTCCATATGCATCAAAATTTTAGGCTTCCTGTTTCTTAACTAATCTTTTCCCTCTCTTTACCTGAACTTTGTCCTTTTTCTTTTCCTCATCCTCTTCTTCCCTTCCTCTTCATCTGCCTCTTCCTTCTTCTCATCTGAAAACAGAGTATTGAATAGAGCAATACAATTAATCAGAACAAAGCAAAACAGTGATAACAATATTTGCCTTCCTTCAAAGAGATGATAGAAGGAGAAATCCCTCCTATTTGCTGTACTGCATACTGTCATCCTCCCAAGAGGTGCTCAGACTTCTGGCTCCCATTTGCTAATGGGGGTAGGGAGGATGTTTGATTCTGCCTACCAGGGAGGTGAGCGGGTTGCTTTGTTGCCCAGCACCCTAAGTTCCAACATGGAGTGGATCTCGGGAGATGCTGGCTGGCTGGTTTGGTTCTCTCCCTGGATTGCCTGCTGCTTGCTCAAGCCACAGCTGCTTACCAGGGAGGCGAGCGAGTTCCTTTGTTGTCCAGCGCCCTCTCTAGATCCTCTTTTTTTTTTTATTTTTTTATTTAAGGAGAAAAGAAAAAAACAGTGAAAGGGTACAAGTTATACAGATTTACAGAAGAAAAAAATGAACATTAGGAAATCACTAGTTAATGGATTACATATTGCCATCTTAAAAATAATTGTTTGAGTCACAAAATTAAAGCTTGTAGAGTGGACATTCCAACGATGATACTGCAAACAGTTCTGTTCAATGATCCAATAAAACTGTGTGATATCATTTTCTATCTTATACACTTAAATATACATGCAGTTATATAGTTTAGAGCACTTTCTTTTCCTCTCTTTTGTACAATGACTATTACACATTTTGGGTTTCATTGCTCCCACAGTTCTTATTGCTTTTTTGGAAGAGAGTAAAACCAAATGAGACATAATAGAACAGAATCGGTCAAGTCAAAAGGGTGGACATAATAGATAATATAAAAACATAATACAAGGTGATCAACAATGGTTACCATAATGCCTCCCGCTATCTCTAATAGAATTGCCTATATCATTAGTTATAATACAATTGAACAAAATAGTAAAGAACAAAACCGACAAAACCAAAACATTGGAGACATTGTAGATCTTCAAAAGTAGATAAAAGTCAACGAGAATGGGCGTTATAATGAATCTCATTAACTAGATCCTCTTTAACCACCACCACCACCACCACCACCACCACCATCAATTTTAGCTCAGGTTTATGGCATATAAAGATTACATAGATTGAGGGTAGTTGACACACGTGCATGACACATCTTAAATCTTTTTATGTCTCTATCTTCTCTCCCTTCTCTCTACCCTCAGACTCTTTGTTCCTTTCTCATTTGCAGAAGATCTATCTCTCTGTTTGCTTTTATCAGTCTTTTATTTTGCTTTGGATTAATTAAATGAGAGAAACTATAGTATTTAAACTTGTGTGTCTGATTTATCTCACTTAATTTTATGTTCTCAAGGTGTATTTGTGTTCCTATTTATGTTTCTTATTCATCCTTCTTAATAGCAGTATAGTGCTTCATTGTGCATAAATACCACATTTTCTTTATCCATTTATCTGTCAGTGGACATACAGGCTGCTTCCAAGATTTAGTTATTATGAATTGTGCTGCTGTAACATGGGTATGGTATTTATACTCCTAAACATGGGTTGTGGTAACATGATGTCTTTGGGTTTTTTTGAAAGACATCTAAGAAAGGAATAGCTGGCTCAAATGGAATTTCTATTTTAGTCTTTTGAGAATCTCCATACTGTTTTCCACAATGGTTGTGCTAGTTTATATTCCCACCAAAAATGTAGAAGGTTCTTTTTTGGGGCTGGGGATTTAGTTCAGTGGCATAAGTGCCTTCCTTGCACGTGTGCGGTCGTGAGTTCGATCCCTGGTACCGATAAAAAACAAAAAAGACAAAAAAAATGTAGAAGTTTCTTTTTCTATCACCATCATGCCAACATTTGTTGTTATTTGATTTCTTGATGATTGTCATTCTTTCTAGCATAAGATGAAATTTTAGTGCTGTTTTAACTTATATTTCTGTATTGGCCAGAGATGTTGAACATTTTTTGATGTCTTTGTTGACCTTTTGTATTTCTGTTCTTTTCAGTTGCCTATTTTTTGATTAGATCTTTTATATTGGGGGCTTTAATTTTTGAGTTTTTAAATATTTACTAGATATTTGTCCTCTGAGGAATAGCTGGCAAAATGTTTCCCATTTTGTAGATTCATTCCGTTGGCTGCTTTCTTTGCTGTGATAAAGCTTTTAAATTTGATGTAATTCCATCTGTTGATTCTTGCTATTATTTCTTGTGCAGCTGGAGTTTTACCCCAAAGTCCTTGCTTGTAGTGTAACTTGTCCTGCCTCCTGCTTTACTCTTGCTGCTCAGGATTGCATTTGTTTTTCTGAGTTTCTTCTGGTTTCATAAGGATTTTAGGATTGTGTTCTCAGTTCTGGGAGACATGATGTAGGTATTTTAGTGTTAAATCTATATGTCAGTAAGCATAGCCACTTTGCCAATATTAGCTGTGCCTATAAGCGTCCCTCTTAGGGCTGCTTTCCTTAGATCCCATAGGTGCTGGTGCATGTCCTGGTATTGTCACTGGATTTCAGAAATTGTTTAATTCCTTCCTTGCTTTCTTCTGCATACTGAGTATGCAGGAGTATATGATTACATTTCCAAGTGTTTATAAATAACTTTGTATAGTTTCTTTTGGGATTGATTTCTAGATTCATTGCACAATGGTCTGATAGTGCACATGGGGGATTTTGATTCTTTGGTATTTATTTAAACATGTCACATGAACTACTATATAGTCTCTTTTGTAAAAAGTTTGCGTGCTGCTGAGAAGAATATTTGTGTGCTGCTGAGAATAATATGTATTCTATTCTACTAGGATAGAACAGTATTTAGATATCTATTAAGTCCATGTGTTTAAAGTTGTGGCTAAACTCTGATATTTCTTTGGTAATTTTTTGTTTAATTGATCTATTTCTTTGTGAAAATAGAGTCTTGAGATCACCCATTGCAATTATGTTGGTGGTTATTTGCTTTTTTTTGTCTTGTAGTGTTTTATTAAGACAGATTCTCCAGTATTTGGTGCATATATATTTACAAATGTTATCTCTTCCTGTAAACAGAAGTTTTTAATTCCACATGTTCTGTCATCTAGTTTTTCTTTAACTCAAATCCTTAAGTTAGTCCTCTTTATCTAGCAAGTGTTGGGTGAATTTCTCTTGTTTTCTTATTGTTTTTAAGGCTTCTCTGGGCAGTTCATTATAATTTACTATTTTACCTTTGATTTCAGAAACAGTTTATAAATTCTATTCACAATGATCATTTCTGCAATTTATAAATTCTATAATTTTTATTTCTTGAATTTCTGTCTGATGTATTTTTGTGGGATCTATGTCTTTGGTAACTGCTCATGTTCTGAATTGTTTTGGACAGCTCTTCTAGTGTTTATTTGTTTCTTCCATATCCACATTGGCCTTTTTTGTATGACAATTTAATAAATTTGGGGGTTATGTTCTCTTTGAATTCACCAAGTTTCTTTAACTCTTCTTTAGTCAGTTTATAAAACTCCACTACCTGGTGATTATTTTCCTCTCCTTAGATGTAACCTCCTTGGGTCTTCTGTGAGAGCAAACTTGGGGGCCTTTTGTTGTCTTGTTTGCCCATATTCCTCTATCTGTTTATCTATCTATCTCCATACCTACCATCTGTCAAAATAAGAAACACATGTATATGATTAGGCATAGTTGACATGAAGATCTTAGGTGTTGCTTTCCATTGATGTTTTCAGCTTTACTTGTCCAAAGGTAGTATTATATCCTTCATATTATTAGTGTGTCCTATTATGTGTAAGGTCTTTTAGTTGAATTGAAGGAGTGCTGTAGAGGGTTTTAAGGAAATATTTGTGAGGTCAGGACAGGACACAGGAGAAGTGAGGTATACAGCAGGTTAATAGGAAAGAAGATAGGCATGACTGAGAACAGAATATTTTGAACCAAAAAAAAAAATCCTTGCAAAGAAGAATTTAAAAAGTGGGAGAAAAAAGTAACACATAAGAAAATTGTATTGCTATGGAAGCTTAAATTGAAGTAACAAAGTCAGGAGAGGAGAAGAGGAAGAGAAAATAAACATCAATCAAATCAAAGAAAAATCAAAGAACCCAGGTCAAATACTTCAATAAGAGAATGTGCTTGTGAGCCCCACATGACCACTATGCCAAAAGCCAGAGTGTTCACACAGGTCCTTTCTTGCTTTGCTTGTGAACTTTTTTGCAGGTAGCTGCATTAATTTCTTCTGTTCTCTCTTGTATTCAAAACCCAAGCTAACCCACTCTCAAGAATTCTGCCCTCCAGCCAGTAGGCAGAATCTGACATTCATCCTGGGCCTGGTTTAGGGGCCCCCACCCCAAGATGTGATGGTGGAGTCAGCAGGGTGTTTGTTGGCGGAAGGGGGTCTGTGGAGTTGAGGGTGGGTTCCTATGTCGGTGAGAGTCTAAGGGAGCTGGTGGGAAGGTTTGATTGCCCTCAGTGGGCGCTGATGAGGAAGCTGCTGGCCTTCTGGGAGAGGAGGTGATGAGAAGAAGGAGCAGGCATATGTAGCGTCTCTCCCTAGAGTCCAGCCTGAGCGGGGTTTGCACATTCTCTCAGGTTATTTGGGGTGCTCTAATAGTGGCTGCTCCCCAGAGGGGTGGGGCCCGGGTTGGTGCAGACCAGTCAAGGTGGTGCTACTTCCTCTTCTCAACTATCCAGATGTTTGCTTTGATTTACAAGTATCTTTCTAATTAATTTTATGTTTCAAGTCCCTCCCCTCTTGTGGCTTTGGTCAATCCTCTGAGTACCTCTGATGTGACTCCTCCTGGGGTCAGCCATTTTGAATACTAATGTTCAGTATTTTATTTCCATGGTGTTTTTGGTTACATTCTACTAGTTAGACATTGCTATTACTATTTTTTTATATAGCTAATGGTGAAAGGGTTTTGGCCCAGACAGGAAAGCCTTAAAGGTGAAGCCTTAAAGGTGGAACCAAGGAGCTCCTATTTCCCCCACCCCTAGGAATTTACCCATGATGCCATCTTCCCCACCCCTAGGAATTTACCTATGGTGCCAAACCAAGACCAATGGGCTAACTGTGCATTCCTGATGCCCCTTTAGGTTCCATCCCAAACCGAAGCTACTTACATACTCCCAATGCCACATGTCTGCCAGAGAGAAAGCCAGACTCCAGCAGTCGGGGGTTTTGATTTTCTCTCTCCGTGTTCTCAGAATAAAGGCCTCTTTTGTTTTATACTTCTCATCTTTTCGATATAATCTTATCATTTGGTGCCGTGACTTGATCGGCAGGTGACTGACTTCTGGAACACACCCAGTTGAGTCCCCAGCCGATTCACGAACCAGATTACATCCTGGATTAATTCTCCGCTTTTCCTCTCAGGGGACCTGCTTGACTTGTCGCCAACTGCTCACACACAACACCGGCCTGATTAATCTCAGGTGAGCAAACTCCAGAGAATTCTTGGTGCTGAGCTCGGCCCCAGGCAAGTTTTTTCCCCCTTCGCGTGAGTTGGTGATGCTCTCATGTCCTTAAGACAGCCCAGGGCAGGGTCTTTCTGGGCAATCTGTGTCCACACTCAAAAATCTCTCACATCCTTTGGGTTCGGATAGCCCAAGGTAGAGTTTTTTGGACTGCCCACACTGTGAGACCCTCATGTCCCTCAGAGCTTCATGCTCTTACAGGCAGAACTGTTATTGACCCCACGTGGACTCCACTCGTAAATCTCTCAGTGACAACTGGGATATATGAGTTTTTGGACCCTAACTGTCATTTGGTGCCATGGAATGAGTGACGGCTTCCTCTCTGGACCATGGCTCGTTTCTTGCCTGAATTAGTCACGGGAAATGTTTTTTCTAATTCTCAAAAGACACCTCTGCAATGCCTAACTTCCAATCTACGTACTCTTAAGATTAAAAGCACCATAAAAACTAAATGATTAACTTTTTACTGCCAGGAGGTTTGGCCAACCTACCCACTTATTGGCAACCCTTGGTCCAGAGAGGGGATATTTGACCCCTATATTCTCAAAAATCTGTACAATTTCTGCCAGGCTGGTGACAAGTTAACAGAGATCCCTTATGTACAAGCTTTCCTTGTTCTGAGAACATGCCCGTCTCTCATTAAATCTTGTACTCCCACCCAGATACTTTTAGCTAACTCTGCTGTGCTGCAAACTCTCCCCTCCTGCCCTCATGATCCGCTCGATGAAGTACCCCCAGTTTTTTATCAGCTGCCACCCACCTACCCCCAAAATCATTCATCGCTGTTACCTCCCGCCATGCGATCATTTTCCCCTCCATCTCCCAGGACCCATAACTCTCCCAGCAGCTCTAATCTCTCTGTTAGTGCTTCCTCTGACTTCTTACTCTCCTGAAAATTCTCTGTACCCTATAGCATTCTCACCTCCAGCCCACCATACTAGGTTTCAGTCGCTGGCAAGCTGCGTGACTGTTCCAGCTTGTGCTGGGAATGGTCGCCATGTTGCGGCCCTCTGCCATGTGAAAGGGCACTTCCATCTTGGGATGGATCTCATGGTCAATGGCCACCCCCTTGTGGCTCCTCTTGTGATCAGCAACAGCCACCCTGTTGCAGACCACATGACGGTTCACTGTGTCGCAGACAGCAATTTCATCTCTGCAAGGCACATAGTGAGACGCCATCTGCCTGTGTTTCCTCATCCCAGGGTAACTGGCAGCCACTTTGTGGCTGATCTACAGATAATTGCTCACATGTGTCTACCGGATGGATGGCTGCCCAATGGCCATCTACTCTGGAATCTTCTCCCCAATCTCTGCTACCACTTTGGGAGCAAGCTGGCCCTGAGGGACTTGTTAATGTACATGTGCCTTTCTCCCTTTCTGACTTATCTCAGATTACCCATAAATTAGGTAGTTTCTCTGTTGACCCACAGAATTATATCAGGGAATTTGAATTTATAACTAATTGTTATGATTTACATTTTAAAGATGTTTATGTGATTCTAAATACCACTCTCAGCTCACGAGTGAAATCAGCTGTAGCAAGCAGCTCGAGAAGAAGCTGATCGCAGACATAAGGTGAACACCACTGATAATGACCCTGGGCCTGCAGCTGTGCCAGAACAAGATCCTAACTGGAACTATCAAAACGGTGAAGGTTTGACAAAATTACATAAAATGATTGAGTATCTGATTGTGGGTCTTAATAAGATTGCTCATAAACACACTAACTATAACAAACTTTTAGAACAGGTCCAGGAGGCTAATGAAAACCCAGCTGTGTTCCTAAATCAGCTTTAGGAAACCTTAAGTTTACTAATGTGAACCCAGACTCTCATGAAGGGATGATTGTTGTTAACTCTTATTTTATTTCCCACTCTGCTCCTGATATTCGTGCAAAATTATAAAAGGTTGAACATGGCCTTCAAACTCCACAAGGGGATCTACTTAAATTAGCTTTCTGTGTCTTCAGCAACAGAGAAAAAATTCAAAAAGAGGAAAAGCAAGCTCAAAAATTAAGGTTTGCTAAATATCAGTCTGATCTGTTAGTAGTGGCACTCGGGGCTCCCAGGACAAGAAATCCAAAACAAGGTGTGGCTGCCCGAGTCTCACCCGGACCATGCTTTAAATGCAGCAAACAAGGACACTGGGCAAAGGATTGCCCCCAACCCTGGCATCCTTGTAGGACCATGTCCATACTGCAACGATAAGGGCCATTGGAAGAGTGACTGTCCTAGCCGCCAGCGAGCAGGTAAGCCATCCTCTAATCCCTCGTCCTCACAGGAGACTCCATCAATGCCAGATTCATCACTGACTGACCTGCTCAGACTTGCTGTGGAAGATTGACGGGGCTCGGGGCTCACAGCTCTCACTCCGGTAACCTTGTCGGAGCCCCGAGTCTCAGTGGAGGTCTCAGGTAAGATAATATCTCTGCTTGTGGATATGGGGATGACTTATAGTGTACTTCTTGAATTTTCAGGACCTTGTAGTAAGTCCTTGATCTCTGTTGTGGCGTTGAAGGCCAGCCTACTCAACCTTTGCAAACTGGGCCTATCCCATGTCAATTCCAGACTCTTTTTCTTTACCCATAGCTTCCTAGTAATCCCAACATGTCCCACACCCCTTTTAGGTAGAGACCTTCTTCAAAAGCTTAATTTTTCCTTCACTTTCTCTCTCCCACAGCCCTAATCCTCCAAATAGCCTTACAATGTGTCGCAAAGCCATTCTCTCCCCTTCTCTGGTTGACCCCATAGTTTGGGACACATCCAATTTCACTCTGGCTACATATGCCATGCCTGTTTTAATCCGTCTCAGGGATCCCTCAATTTTTCCCTGTGTTCCCCAATACCCCATAGCTCCCCAATATTTAAGGGGACTTAAACCCATAATTAACTGCCTTTTGGACAATGGTTTTCTTAAACCTACCCATTCACCCCACAATACTCCCATTCTCCTGGTACTCACGCCTGATGGGTCCTATTGCCTGGTACAGGACCTTAGAGTAATTACACACCCCTGGTCAGGACTGGCAGATAGGTTTTACACACATGCCCCACCACAAAACTCTCAAATATCTTCTCACCTTTGTACATTTTCAGGATGGATAGAAGCCTTTCCCACAACCAGGGAAACTGCTGATGTCATTACCAAAGTCATATTACAAGAAATCATTCCAAGGTTTGGTCTACCTCAGAGTATTCAGTCAGATAATGGTCCCACCTTTATTTCTCAGATCACTCACCAGGTATCCTCAAGCTTACACATCACCTGGCACTACACATCCCATACCATCCACAATCCTCAGGGAAAGTATAAAAGGCAAATGGCCTCATAAAGACACACCTTACAAAACTCACTTTAGAACTACATCAACCTTGGCCTCAACTTTTGCCCTTAGCCTTAGCCAAGCTCAGGACATTTCCCCGGGCTCCTAGTTTCTTAAGTCCTTTTGAACTTATGTACAGCAGGCCATTCTTACTCCACAATCTTCCTACTCCCCAAAATCTCCCTCTCCTTGATGACTATGTCCCAGTCCTCTCTTTCCTCCGACACCCGTTGTGACAACATGCTGATGTCTGCCTTCCACAATCCTCTGGAGAGGCCAAACTAGATCCTCCCATATCCCCAGGAGATCTAATTTATCTCAAATGTTCTAAATCCACAGGACTACAACCAGGGTGGAGTGGCCCCTATCTGGTCTACTTGGCTGCCCCTACACTGGTCAAAGTTGCTGGACTCCCATCCTGGTTTCACATCACTCAGGCTAAGAGGTGCCCTCCCAACCCTAAATCTGATCATTCTGAGTGGTCATCTCATCTTCTGTCACCCACCTGTCTCCGTTTCATGAAGGCCTCACAACCACAGTTAGCAGGCTAAGTCATGTTATCCACTTTGGTGCCTAATTTCTTACGTTCTATTAATGATCATTTTTACAGCAGGACTCTTGACAGTCTTTCCTAAAGACTCCCACATCATGTGTAAGATAATCTTCATAATGTTCTATGCGATGACTGTCACAGTTCTTTCTACTCTCAGCTGTCTGGTTAAATGTGACATCCCTGAAAGCCTAAGCCCTTACCTTCCCTATACTGGTATAGCCACCACCTTCCCTACTGTCCCTATTTTTTCAGTTCAACTCCTGGACCAGAGACAAGTTTTACACACCTACCCTCTTAACTTTTATGCTTTCAGATGGAGGAGTAATCACCTCTCATAACATCATTCCTCCTAACCTCACACTTAATTTTCAGAATTCTACCTCACCATAACAATGATCCTAACTCAATGTCATCCTGATATAATGACATGTCTAAATCAAAGGCACCTTTCCCTCTACCTCACCTGGGTCCTTAAATATGACAGTGCCATGTCTCCTCATAACATCTTGTCTCTTTGTTTTTCCAGTCTAACATAACGTGCATTCACCAGTGAAGTTGTCCTGGCTAAAACACCTGGCATCAGCGTCTACCTGGGCATCAACTGTCATCCCATTGACTCCCCTAGACTCCAGTACAGTGCCCCCTGCCAGCAGGAAGTAAAGAGAGAAATCTTCACCCCTTTTCATAATAATAATCATAAGATGGGATATGAAAGGGTTTTGGCCCAGACAGGACACTGTAGCTGGTGAAGCCTTAAAGGCAGAACCAAGGAGCTCCTATCTTCCCCACCCCTAGGAATTTACCTATGGCACCAAACCAAGACCAATGGGCTACCTGTGCATCCCTGATGCCCCTTTAGATTCCACTCCATACCGAGGCTTCTTACATACCCCAACACCACATGTCCACCAGAGAGAAAGCCGGACTCCAGCGGTTGGGGGTTTTGGTTTTCTTTCTCCATGTTCTCTGAATAAAGGCCTCTTTTGTTTTATACTTCTCATCTTTTGGATATAATCTTATCAAATGGTTATTAAGTGTTAGCCTTGTATTTATTAGTATTGCTATCTTGTTTTCAGTATTGTTAATGTCTTCAAAAAAACATGGAAGATATTTTCCTTTTGTCTAAGGTAACAATGTATAGCATTTTTAAAAATAAAGATTAAATCACCGTAAAATACTTTGGCTCTTATTTCTCTGAAAAATCTCACTTTGCCTTTTTTCTTGAAAGCTGATCATTGGGTAGATAATTTGTGCTGATGGTTTTCCTTTTTCAACACATTGAAAATATAATTTTCTAGTCCCCTGAATGCTGTTGTCTTGATTCTTTTGTTATTGCTTTTAAGAAGCTATCTGTCAAAATAATTATTCCTTATAAGCAATATTTTAAAAATACATAGCAAACTGCCTTAACAATTTCTGTTTGTCTTTATTTTTTTGGCAGTTTCACTGTGATATGTCTTGTTGTGGATTTCTTTTTATTTATTTGATTTCAACTTGTTAAGCTGTTTTTATGCCTTCCACAAATTTTAGAAAATCCTTAGAAAATTGTCATATTGAAATTTTTTATCTTTCATGTTGTCTTGGTTTCTCATCACTACAACAAAACACCTAGGATAATTGACTTATGAGGAAATTTTTTTTTGTTCCTTGGTTTTAGAGATTTCAATTCATGATTGGGTGGCCCCACACTTTTAGCCCTTACATAGAGTGGCAGGAGGCAATGGCAAGAGAGATACAGCAAACTGGTCATCCATTTTGTGGCCAGGAAGTAACAGAGGAAGAGGAAGAGGAAGGAGCTGAAGTCCCACAATTCCTTCCTGGGGCGTTAACCCCAGTGATCTGAGGACGCCTCACTCCGCCCTGGCTCTTGAAGGCCCAAAGCACCTTCCAGTATTACATTTTTGAGCCCCTAACACATGAGCTTTTGGGGGACAGTAGACATTCAAAGCAGAGCATCTGTTTTCTCTGGTATCCTTTTTGAAAGTCTAATCAGAAATCTGTGAGACCTTCTCATTCTGTCCTCAAGACCTCTAAGCTCTATTTTATTTTATGGAAAAAAGAGAATTTACATAACAAAGTAATAGAAGAACAACAATAGTTAACATATTGCACATTGTTATCTTCAAAGTAGTTGCTCAGAGTACTAGATATGGGCATAAAAATTTCTCCAATTGATATTAGTACAAATCTTCCTTTTCAATGAGCTAGCAGATGCTAATAGTATAACTGACTCCTATTTCCTCCACTTTTTCCTTCCATTGTTTCCCTTTTGCCCTTCCTAGTTATCTTTTCCTTTTGAACAATTTCTTCCCATTTCATAATATCTACTGTGCATTTTAGGCCTCATTTACTCTTTCAGTTTTTCATACCAGGGGAATTACATGATATTTACACACATGAGTCTGACTTATTTCACCTATAGGTATGGTCTAAAGTTGCATCTATTTACCTATAAAAGCCTCAAGTTTATTCTTCTTTTGGGCTAACCAGTACTCCATCGTATAAAAATATCACATTTTAAAAAATTCTATTTATTGGTTGATGGACATTTGAGTTGTTTCCAAGATTTAGCTATTACAAATTGTACTGTTATAAACACGAGTGCACATATATCACTGTGGTATGATGTTTTTAATTCTTCTGGGAAAATACCCAGCAGGGGAATAGCTGGTAGAATGGAATCTCTCATCCTAATTTTTTGTGGAATGTTCACACTGATTTCCACTGTGGTTGTACCAGGCTACACTCCCACCAACAGTGGAGAGGGGTTCCTTTTTCCTCACAGCCCCCCCCCAACATGTATTATTAGTTGATTTCATGATGATAGCCATTCTTTCTAGGGTGAGATGGAATCTCAGTGTTTGTTTTTAATTTGCATCTCTCAAATGATCAGTGACATTGAACATTTTTACATACATTTATTTATTATTTGTATTTCTTCACCTGGGAAGTGTATTCATCTCAGTTGCCCATTTTTGGATTGGATCTTTGAATTTGGGAAAGTCTGATTTTTTTCAATTCTTCATGTGCTCTAGCTACAAGTTTTTTGAGGGACAATTGGTTAGAATTTTTTTCCATCCTGTAATAGACTTTGAAGTTTGTTGGTGATTTCTTTTTGATGTGCAAAATCTTTTTAATAATAAGATGAGATCTCAGTTGTTGATTCTTTGAAATATTTCTTGTGCACTTTGGATTTTGTTCATCAACTCTCTGAGCCTCTCTTTCAAATATTCTCTGTTTCTCTTGCTTTATTGCATTCTCTATAATTTCTTCAGTTTCTAATCACTAATTCTCACTTTATTTGTATTTTATATACTACTTAGTCTGTCAGAGTTTTAGTTCATTTGTTAAAGTTTTCACTTCAAGGAAATGAAGTGATTCTTTTTAAAATCTAGCTGGTGCTTTTTTCGTAGTTGCTTGTTATTTGTTCTCTTTACTTAACACATATATTAAATATACTAATTTAATATTCTATATATGATAATTCTATTTATGGTCATTGTAAGACTGATTTTATTGTCTGTTGTTTTTGCTGGTTTCTTTCCAGTGTTCTGTGACTTTTAAAATATTTGACTTCAACTTATTTTCATTTTTGCAATTTTGGGATTGAGTGTAGGGCCTTAGAACTGAGTTACCTCTCCAGCCTTTTTTCATGTTGTATTTTGAGATAAGTTCTTGCCAAGTTACTAAGTTGCCCAGACACAGCTAGAACTTGTGATTCTCCTATCTAAGCTTCCCAGGATGTTGGGGTCACAGGTGTGTGCTACCCCAATGGCTATAAGCTCAGTTTTGATGGGACTTTATCTGTGAGACTGTGAATTAAAGCCTGAATTGAAGTTGTTTGATTTTGGCATGTTCCCACTAGTTCGACCTCCTGAAATCAGTGAATAAATTTTCAGTTTGAGATTTTTCAATACACACACACACACACACACACACGCATCTCAGGAAGCCCTCGAACAGCCATCCAAAAGCTATCATTTCTATGGATTCCAATTTTTCTTTATTTGGAAACTTAAGAATTTCTGTTCTCTTCATTGTCTTATTTGTGTATCTAAAAGATATTTTAATTTATTTGAAATTTGAAAATTTAAAATTTTTATTAGTATGTGTTTCCAGTACATAATATTTACATTCTTTATATGGAGTTGATACATGCATATAACACATATTTTTAAAATGAATACATATTAATGTTTATTCTTTGTTTATTCTCTTAATTCCTTTTTGAAATTGTTTTTCAGTGGGAGGGTTCTTCTGAGAATCTAGTCTGTGACATTGCTAGAAGGGGAGACCAATTTTCTAGTCTTGGCTAAAATGTGAAACTATAGAATATGAAATATGAACAAAGTGAACCATTCCTGGAGTGAGTAGTAGACTGAGGATTCTTTATTTATTTTCCTTTTTCTAGAGCAATCATGGAGCTCCAAGATCACCTGGAGAAAAGGGAAACAGTGGAAGTTGGGTAAAGTATGAGGGTATTCTTTTCTAATTTTTCTAATGCATAACTGACATCAACAAGTTATTTGTAAGCCTTGAGGCTTCACCTAGTGGTTTGAAACCCTTGGTTGAGAAGTAAGTGATATTTAGATGACTGTTTGGAAGCTTTACTTGGGACTTGACTGCTGATAGTGAAGGTGCAGTGTGCCTGCAGGTGTGCAACCTTTTGTACTTTAGAAATTGTGTCACTCTGTGGCTCACAAGCATCTCTTGTCTCCTGGTCACTAATGGTTTAGTCCCACACCCAAGGCTGTTCAGTCACATTCTTCAGGGATCTCAGTTAAGTGCTCATCAAATTGTACGACTCTTTGTTCTCTAATGTTCCTTATGCACATTTACCTCTGTGTCTTGCTTATGCATGAGTCTTCTTTGACCACGTCATCCTGTAGTGATCTCCCCCTTCACTGCATCCTTAAACTCACATTGCTGGTACCATCTGCCTTGACAGTATGTACACCCTGCCATATTCCCTCTTTCTACTTAAGGGAAAGAGGGTTCTTGGCATACGCACTAAAGCCTCCTTCCCTCCCTGTGCAGCCATGTTGGAATCCAACATGGCTGAAGGATCCATTTCAATGCAGAACTATGACTAGCTTTTGCTGGCTGATAGGATTAGATGGGGATGAAATTTACTCACCTATCCTTTATGTCCCTGTTTTTTGTGATACTGAGGACTGATCCCAGGGCCTCGTCACTGGTCACATCTTCAGCAACCCTCTTCTCTATTATTTTGCCGCAGGTTCTTGTCCAGGCTGGCCTTGGATTTGTGACCATCCTGTCTCTGCCTCATAATGATATACTACTACTCCATGGATGCACAGTTAATAGTGTGGACTGATCGCTTGATTAATAAATAGGGAGAAGATGTAGTTCTTAGAGATAGAAGGTAGAAGGTATAACTTTTTTTTGTTTAACATGAAGAGTTTTAAGTTAGTTAAATCAGTAAATACCTGTCAAGGTATCCCTGTGTCCTACATCCCAATGTCCCACCGCCTACCTGTGGGACATTTTGCTGAGCACAAAGAAGGATTCAAAGATAAATTAGTTGTGGCTATTACTAACAAAGAGTCTATTAATCTGTGCAGAAGACAAAGCTTTAAACATTTTTATATTTATTTATTTTTATTAATTTTGTTGGCACATTTTAGGCATATAAGATGATCACATTCATCACAAGGAATTTGTACTTGTACATGATATAACTTGATTTTTTTCCCATTCCCCGACTCCCCCTTCAACCTCTCTTGCTCCCCTTATTTACAAGAGCTTTGTTTCCATTTTCCTTTGTTTCTCATTTTTTCTTTTCCTTTCCTTCCTTTCTTCCTTCTTTCTCCCCAATTTCTCCTCACATTTGAACATTTTCTTCCTTTCACAATACCTATTATGCATTTTAGTCCTTATTTACACGTTTGGTTTTTCACATCAAAAAAATAATGCAGTATTTGTACATGTATGTCCGATTTATTTCACTTAAGAGTATGGTCTCAAGGTGCATTCA